TTTCCAAATAACTCTATTTAGAATTGTTCTAATTTGGGCACTGAAAACATGAGAACCCATGACTATATAAATAAACTGGTGATTTTAGCTTTTATGAAAAGAATATTACCACATATTTTTCATAAATCAACTCATTTCACATGGGTCAAATGAAACATTTTAAAATGAACTCCTTTCAGGGAGTTAATTAAATGGGCAATTTCACAAAGTACTATTAAGTGAATCTATGGAAAGGTATTTTAAAATCATGAGCTGTCTTAAAAGTAGTTTTTCCATCTCCAGGTAAGAAGCTAATCTACTCAAGTAGGTTAAGATCCTTTTACCATTGAAAAAGCAGTTCCCATTGGAACTACTGATCTCTTTGGCTTAACAATCTTTCTTAAATGCTCTGAACAGTCTGCCCTAGCTCTGAAAGCAGTTCAAAATAGGCAGCTAGAAATCAGGTGGACAAGAGAGAATTAAACAGTTTCATGCTCAGAAGGGAACCGCTTTTTTAAAGGCTATGCTTTTTCCTAATTTGAGCATCCCTCACCAGAACACTACAGCGTCAAACTCCTGCTTGGCATTTTTTTAGGTGTATAATCTTGAGGAAATGCTCTGTGTCTCTGTGCCACAGGTGTTTCTTTGTACAATGATTATATTAGTTCAGAAAGTAGTCAAGGCCTTTTGTAGCTCTAAAAACCCTATGATTCTATGGTTGTCTTGCTTGATAACCAACATTTATAAATAGCCATCACATCTATGAACTATGTTGTCACTGAATTCAATATCAACTTAACATATCTAAAGAGGAACTGGATGGATCTCACTTTTCATCAGCCAATTACAGCTGGTCTTTTAATTAACTGCTTCATCTTCCTCCAGCTGGAGAGCAGACTGCACTGTTAGGATGCTACCCTTAAAGCCACATCCACATACCCCCGATTCTGTGAAAGAAGTCCAGGCTCAGCTTACTATGTCTAGGAAGAGTCTTCATGATTTACTCCAACCCAACTGCTCCTGCTCAAGACTGGCTGCTGTGTGCTCAATCCCAGCCATGGGCTGGATGTGACTTTCATAGCTGAAGGTCAAAGCCCATTCTTTCCAGTACAAAAGAGAACACTGTGTGGATGAATATGACTGAAAAAAGTGGAAGAAAATGAATACTAACACAACTGTAAAGAATTACGCTGCGGTTTACAATGTTGGAATGTAGACATTTGTTTGGAAAAATGGCAGGTTTCCAGCTTTCTACATTTGAACCCATATCTCCTATCATGTCAGGATACCAAGAACTTAACTGTCATAAGAAATATAACGTGCATTAAAGAAAACCCATGCCATTTATTAGGGAGAAAGCACTGCAGGCTGCCAATTCCTTAAAAGGGGTGTGGCTTTAGAGTCACAAAATTAAAATATGTGATACTTGTGCATAGACTTTGGACCAGGACACAACTATCATGTCAAAGATGCCATTCTCTCTTGTATTAAAACCAAATTGTATCACCATCTGTGCCCACCACGCCTAGGGAAGCAGCTTTATGACCCCAAGTGGATTAGTTGGAACATTAGATCAGCAGCAGGAGCACAAGTCCTTAGCAAAGAAACAGACTTGCTAGAGTGATTAAATGGGATGCCTCAACCATTAGACCTGGGTGCTAGAATACTTAAAATATGAGCTGAGGTTAGAAAAAGCTAAAAAAAAAAAAATGTTTGGAAAACCTGTGGGCCTGTAATCTCTCATGTCTTCAAAGTTTCATTGGAGAATATGTACTATGATAAGGCAACCCTGACCAGGTACCATGCACAGGGCTATAAACACTAATTCCAAGACTCATTTATGATGGCTTCCAAGCTAGTTCCAGTCCCAAGGTCAGAGTATCTTGGAGAAGCTTTCAGAGGGAAGCTCTGCACTTTGTACTCACCTTCCTAACAGGTCTTCTCACTGTCGCTCACAGCCTCATCCCAGAGTTGGGCGGCAGCATTTCTGATGATTTAGATACAAGTTTGAAGGTCCTGTGGAAGCAGCAGCTCCCCCAACCCCCCTTTTCATGTATACAATTTAATGATTTTTAGTAAACTTCCTGAGTTGAGCAACTATCACCACAATCCAATTTTGGAACACTGTCATCTCCCCAGTAAGCTCCTTCATATCTGTTTGCAGTTAATCTCTATTCTTACCACCAGCCTCAGGTTAAGCGAAGCCTGCATGAGGGGCCCCCTTCCCTCAGCTCCCACGTCCTCAGTTTGCGTGCCAGCATAGATTGCACCGAGCAGTTACCTACACACTTCCTCGTAAGAAGCAATGCTGTGCCATTAGCTAGCTTGTGCAGTCTGTGAGAAGCCCCACATTGCTGCACAGTGCTTCCAAGTCAGCTATCAAAGGTACAGCTTCAGGTTTCAAAGGGTGCAAGAAAACTGAATACTGTCCTTCACAATAGATACCATTCTTAGAAATCAATATCACTCAGATCTTAAAACTGGGGATTCTCCCTGTGCTTCCTTGTTTCCTCAAGGTGGTATCGATGAATTCAGAGGTGAAGAATCATAAGAGGATCAAGGAACTGAATAAAATAACCATAATTAAATAGCTTCCAGAAGTATACCACTCACTCAATATTTTCCTAACATCAAAGGTTAAACATAGTTCTAGAAAACAGCGGGGGAAAAATCAGAGAAGCACTTTCAGGTTTGCTCCTCTGTAGCATCTGTAAGAAATCAAAGTACATCATCTGTTTCTTTGCCAGCATTTTGCATAGACGTATTTTCCAGTAGAAGGAAACGCGTCTGCCATCAAGGAAATTTGCTTGGTGGAGGCTGGAGGATGTGATACCCTAATAGCTCATCTGCAAGATGGACCAAGACTGTGTCATCTGTGCATTGAGACAGTTAGCCTTAGCTCCTCTGCTTCTGTCTTGCAAAACCAGGTTGACATTATGAGCCCAATGATGCAGCAAACATCCCTGAAATACATTTTAATGTAATACCCACACGTAATTTATTGTTTAATACTTTTAAATTTTCTTTGATTAACAACAGTAAAAAATAATTCATACAAATAGAAAAAAATAATACTTTCTAAGTTTTCAGATAGGCAAAAAATATGAAGAGCATCTTTCACAGGGATAAGGTTCCTTGACTTAAGAGCTAGAAAAACTTTCATACTAACTTAGCCCAGTTGCTAAAAATTCTGTTTCATATGAACATGACATTTTCCCATTTTTCTCTCCTGATTTTACCCACAGCATGATAGAGAATGCATTGTGACAAAAATGTACAAAACATTGGCTGGGCCTGCACCAAAGGAATCTTTTTAAGGAAAAGCAAAATAAAATAAAAATTTTAAGTCCCTACACAGTATTTTCTGAAGCATAAAATGCAGACTTTTTCAATGCATTAAGTCCCACAGTCCTTTCCCCTAACCCTTGCAACACAGCTTATATACTTTTGTATTTTCTATTTTTGAAAAGGAGAAAAAAATATTAAAAGAACTCAAATCAGGATAGGGAAGCCCAGAGGGATTATTTAATGCACTTTTAACTTTTTGTTTTCACAGCCACTCAAATTAGACAAATGACTGTGACAAAAGTGACTGTAAAATAACGGTGGAAAAAAGTGATAACCTTCCAAAAAATAGCTTTCTTACTGCAGAGGATCATAAATAAATTAAATTGATTTCCACTCTGGCGTCAAAGAATGAAAACCTCAAAGGTGAATGTTTAGAATCAATTTACCTGATTTGCACATTACCTTAACTGAATTTCAAGATTGATCTAATGCCTATATTTGAATTAACAGGCAGAAAATTAAAATTGGATTGCTACCTGGTACTTCACTGCACCAAGGAAAACACCCCAATCTGTTTGCCTTACAATGTGAGTAAAACAACGCAAAGGCATTAAGCACAAGGGGCTATAATCCAGTTATAAAAGCTATTTATGCATCGGGGATAATTAACCCAGAGAGGGTGATTCTGTGCTACTTGAAATTCAGCAAGTCAAAGAATACCCAAAGAGAAGACAAACATAGCAGGGGGAAACCATGATCATTACTGCATGAACTGTAACGTAGGTAGATCAAGAGCAGCCATACAGCTGAGATGACGAACTTCAGGCTATGCGTATGCTTCCGCGTACCCTAAACAGCAGAAATAGAGCCTCCAAAACAAAGACTGGAAATACAGTACATTGTATCCTTTAGGAAAGGAGGCTCTGTACAATGTCATGAAAATCCCAAACAGACTTTGATTATAAATGGCAGTGATGTCTTAACACAGGGCCTTCATTCAATTCTCCAGAGTTTAGAAAATACTCTCCAGAAAAGAAGTCATTTAATTGTGTTTAACATTACAATAAAAGGAGCTGATTCCACACTGGGGTCAACTCTCCAGTAAATAACTAACACAGAAACATTTCCATACTCAAACAGGTAAGCAATTATTCAAAAGCTTCTCAACTATTTATTGGGAAGTGGTTGAATTCCAACATGTACCACATAGAGTCAGATTCTTCATCAAGAATACCAATGTGACAGTCAGGACTTTTCAGTTATTCTGTAAATAGTCAAACAAACCTCTTCCTACTCTCAAATATTGGTGATTAGTTCAAGGTTTACAAATTACGTGACTATGACTACCCCATGTCACAATCCTGAATTCCAGTGTGCCTATTCTGAAAGTTCTTGCCCAACTTTCTATTTCAGCACAAGGATTTTTTTCTACACTGAAAAACAGGATACTTAGTATCATAAAGGCTTCTCCAAAGTCTGCCTACTCTATTGTGACATAAAATAACAGCGCTTGCCTTAGGATCAAACCACTTCAATCCCACTGAAACAACTTTAGTGGACAGTGACACAGCACAACAGAAAAGAAACTTGGGAAAACCTTTATCTTCTCATTTTTAAAACTCTCATATGCTCCCACTCAGTACAACAGAACTCAGACTCACACATTTTATGTCTTCCAAAAATAGCCGGCACTGAGAAGAGAGGGCAAGAGATAATGAAGACCAGATGCCTACCTTCACTGGTAGCCACATTCTTCTGGGCTTGGGTTGGTGTGTGATCTGTACTTGAACTCACGTCGGATGAGATGCTTGAGCTGCCTTTGCCTAGAAAAAACAGGAATGAGCAGCTTTTGAGTTTTGTAATTTCAGAACTAGCCCGTGCCTTTCGTTCTGTCCCATACCAAGCCACATCATTTGTTTCCAAGAAAGGAGCCATAATACCAAGGAAGGAGTTTATTAGGTTTCTTGCCTTATGCACTCAATATCTTTGGGGAAATGCCTGAGCCATGTCAGAGCAGAACTAAAGTCTTATTATAATCTCACTTGACTATAAACTCAGACAAGATTATAAAACACGGTCAAATATGATAACGTAATCTAATTTTGATGTACATGTGACTAAGAAAGTACATGTGCGAAACACATCTATAGCATTAATTTTTTATTCGCAGCTATAAACTATACATTTTCCAGTAAATAACAAATGTAAATCAAAGAATGAGGCATTATCTAAGAAGGAAGAGCCTACTGGCTCCAAAAGGTTGCATCACCTTAACAAAAACAAATTCCCTGTTTTAATAGGTTCTTCTTTTAAAAAAACAAACAAACAAAACTTCATTTTTCTAACGCTGTAATTCTGGGGGTGCTTCTCCATGCCAGGGTGCATTTGGCAATGTCTGGTATCATTTTTAGTTGTCACAACTGGAGAGGGTATGTTCCTGGCACTAGTGGGTGGGGACCAAGGATGCTGCTTAAACACCTTAAAATGCAGAAGACAGCCACCCCACCAATCACGAATGATCCAGCCCAAAACATCAATAGCGTCAAGATTAAGAATCCCTGGTCTAAATAATCTTACCTCAGCTGAGAGCTCAGTTTCTACTCTTCTGACCGTCTGACTTTTGATAGGAACACATATAATAACATTGCTAAACATTCTCTAAACGTCACATGAGACCCTACAAATATAAACCACATGCAGTACCTAGTGAGGGAGGTGCCAATGATGGTAGTGGGCAGAACTCTGAGATAACTCCCATGGTACCTGCTACAGACTAAATGTTTGTGTCCCCCAAAATTCCTATTTTAAAACCTAATCACCAAAGAGATAGCATTAAGAGGTGACTTGCCTTGGGGAGGTGATTAGTTCATGGGTGTGGCACCCTCATGAATGGAACTATAGAAGAGAACCGCCAGAGAGCTCCCTGCCCATGTGAGGAAACAGGGAAAAGATGGCAGTCTATGAATCAGGAAGCAGGCTCGCACCATTGTGATCCCAAACGGCAAGAAATGCAAGAATCAAATTCCTGTTGTGATAAACCACCTACTCTGTATGGTATTTTGTTGTAGCAGCCCAAACTGTCTAAACCAGTACCCACCAATTGGCAATCTGCTCCCTTTGATTATGAGCAGAATCTGCCACTTGCTACTAAGCCATGGAATACGATGATGGTGAGAGGATTTTGCAAATGTAATTAAATTCCCTAATGAGCTGAATTTAGTCAGAGGGAATTATTCCTGGTGCGCCTGACCAAAGTAGATAACCCCTTTACAGGAGTCTCAAAGAAAGACTTCCTGTTGGTCTCAAAGACGCAAGTCATCATGAGTTCTACAGCGACAAGGCAATGAATTTTGTAACACCCATGTGCAGCGCATGGAAGAGGACTTGAGCCCCTGAAGAAAGGCCAGCCCTCGCCAATGCTCTGACCACAGCTTTGTAAGACCCTGAACAAAAGTCCAGCCCAGAGCTCTGACCCAAGAAAAATGAGCTAATGAAGGTATCTCATGTTAACCTACTGCTAAGCTGGAGGTAATTTGTTACATAGCAATAGGAAACTAATATAATGACCAACAAATTATATCACAAATAAATTCTTTTTGTTCCACAAGTTATGATGAAAACTCTTAAATGCAGGTGAGAAACACTTTTCCAATAGTCTTCCCTACACAGTGGTGTATACCCCAGTTAGATGGTGTGAGCTTACAGTCTAAAAACAGAGTAGAATGGCACAAATGGGAGGTTTAAAGAGCCCCAGGGATGGTTTACTAATGTTGACAGTAATGGAACAATCCAAGTTCATGAGTGATATCAGCTAGACAGGGAAGCGCATTGATTTATGACTCTGAAACAAGTCTATTACTCCATCATCCCTGCCCATTCCACATCCTCCTCCCTCAGCGTTAGCCAACACAGTGCAGTAACTCCCATTAGCCTGTATCTAGCCTGCTTCTGCAGTCGCCACTTGAACCACCTGCCTTGGTTCACCTTTGGTGGGTGTTGACTTGGACTGAGTACCTAGTTAGAAATAGGCCAAACTGATCTCTGACCTCAGTCTGCTGCTCCCTTGATTTTCGGCCTTGGACAGTGTCCACATCCGGTAGGGAAGATGGGGAGATAGGTGGACTAAATGACTTCTAGCAGGTCAAATAGTTTATGGTTCTATGAGTCCATAACAGAGCTCTACAAACCTGCAAACGTTACTTTTAATTTGGGAGAAAAAAGAGCATTATTGTGCACCACGAATACACAGACTTAAATTATTTTTAGTATATTGTTAATTAAGAGTGAACAAATGAAAACTAGAAATAAACTCCATGTGTATTAGCTCTGATTCAACAATAAGACCAAAACAAAACAACCAATTATACATAAAACAATAAAACCCATTAAAATTCCAATTATCACCATTAATTTCATGTGGCAGATGATGTTATTTTGCTGACATTAAATTGCCTTTCAAAATGTAAATATAGTACTAGCTGCTAAAAATGTAAATACAGTACTAGCTGCTAAAGATATAAAAATGCAAATACAGTACTAGCTGCTAAAGCCTGTGTTCTCTTGGGTCTGGCATGTCCCTGCTACCTCAGGCTGTATGAGGACTCAGCCTGCCCACCACATTCCTCCCCTGGAACTTGGGCAGTTCTTCCTGCTACGTGATGCCATACTGACTGCCCTTTACTTGGTCTAACTGTGTCATTCAGGTTTTATTGTCTGCCCTTCTTTTATTGCTCATTGGCCCATAACCACTGAAGCACAGCTCCTTCCTTGGACAACAAAACCATGTGACAGGACCTGGCCAGATGGCTCAGTTGGTTGGAGTATCATCCCATACACCAAAAAGTTGTGGGTTTAACCCCTGGTAAGGCACATGCCTAGGCTGCAGGTTCAACCCCCACTCTGGGCACATACAGTAGGCAGCCCATTGATGTTCCTCTGTCACATCGATGTGTGTGTGTGTCTCTCTCTCTTCCCCCACCCCCCTTACTCTCTCTAAAGCCAGGTGAGGGGGTTAAAAAGAAAACCATGTGGCAGGACTCTATTATAGAGGGGAAGCAGTAGAACCAGTATACAATTATTTATTATTTGTAAGATTATCATCAGAAGGAAAGCACATCCCTGGCTGATGTGGCTCAATTGGTTGGAGTGTCATCTTGTAAGTGAAAGGTTGCAGGTTTGATTCCCAGTCTGAGTACATATGATCCCGTCTGGGCACGTTCCTACAGGAGACAGCCAATCAATGCTTCTCTCTCACATCAACATTTCTCTTTCTCCTTTCCCCCTTTCAAAGAAAGCAATGAAAAAAATATCCTTCAGTGAGGATTTTTTTTAAAAGGATTAAAAAAATAAAACAATGAAAAAAAATATCCCTGGGTAAGGATTAAAAAAAAAAACAAATTTCAGAAGAAATTCTCAGACAGATTTGAAAACATGTATGCAGAACCTTCAAAGGACCACAAACTGCACGTTAAGAAATGCAGGTGAATGAAGAAAGGAAAGCAGATTGGAGAAACAAATAATGTTATCAATGATATGTATAGTAAAGCTAATATAGGGTGTGTATGCTGTGTTCTGTACTTCAGTAAATACCTTAGGTGCATCATCATATTTTCACTATGCCTTATGGTTTTGTTTCCCAATAAGATTTTGTTATAGCCTCCTCCCCAAGAAAACTTTGTAGATATTTTTCTGTAATCACCCCCACATATAAAATTGTAATACCACAGATATACTGCGTACATATTATGTGCAGCGCGTATTTCTCTACTTTTACATAAAAAGCTTAAGAGTTTTCACCCCCCAGTTTTTGTCCCTTTGAGGGTAATACTGTCCCCGCATTGAGGATGTATACCCTTTGGTAAGTACAGTTTTAAATGCCTGGCTATTTAATGAAGTAAGTAATTATGGACAGCGAGATAATAGAGGCATAAATACAGTCCATTCTTGTTATTCGTGGTAGTTATGTTTTATCGAGTCACTGCAAACACTGAACTAACAATACCGAATCATTGCTCTTAGGGGAAACACAGGATTAGGATTCCGTGACTCTGGTTGCTTTTGTCATCAATCCATGTGTTTCTGTTTGAAGACACCTTATTCAATGTACTTTGTTGATTCATTAACATTCAACCCAAGGCGTGGAACACTGGCAATCATGCCTAAATGAGCTTACCTAACACAAGGAAGGCACATCACAGCCTTCCTGCACTTGAGGAACAACAGATAGTTCTTAAGCATGATATTTGGAGGGCATTTTAAATAGTGCAATCACCAATAAAAAAGTGCAAAAATGTGAAAAACGTGGCACTAAATAGATCACAAAAAAGTCACTTATTTACAGCATGAGAGCTGAAACAAGAAGGCAGAGCATTGCTTGTTTAAACTCAGCTTGGACCGTGCACATAGGGTGACTCAAAATTTTCACCACTCTGCACATGTCTGTAAATGACCATGAAATAAATGGTTATTGACTTGGGGGTTATAATTAAATTTTAGTAATTATGCAGATTCACAAATACAGAATCCACCAATAGTAGGGACTGACTGTATATAACCTTGTATTAAATAAGTCTTCACAGTCCATCACCAGCTCTCAGGGGGACTGTAGTGGGTAGAGAGAGGAGGCCAGGTTTACGTCTGACTCTGCCAATTACCAGTGTTGGGACAATTATTAAACCCTTCTTTGCTTTACTTTTGTCAGCTATAATAAGGGTAGAGAAAACCAACTCCTGCCTCATTGGGCTGTTTTGAGCATTACATAAAATAATGCTAGGATAGTATCCTTAGAAAATGCTCAAAAAATCTTAGTATAATGGGGCTCATA